TAGGGGAAAGGAAAAAAGGGAAAAGAAAAAATATGAGAAAAGGAAAAAAATGGAAACAAAGTCTTTGCAAATAGGGGTGGAGGGGAGGGAGGGCAGGGGAAGGGGAAAAAAATAAGAACCAAGATACTTGTATAATAGTACAAGATCCCAATGATGAACGTAACTGTATTTTATACCTAAAATGTACCAATAAAAGAATTTTTAAAAATAAATAAATATAAGTATTGGTTCTTTGTAAGACCAATATGATAAGTTAATTATGATCATGATTCATTGGAAATAAGGTAAAAACATGATTAGGAATTATAACAATGAGTATAGGAAAGATTAAATTAAGAGACTATTTAATTAAATGACACATATTTGAAAAATAGATGAACCCATAGCAAAACATACCTTAATGAACACTTAATAAGAAATAGAAAACTTGAGTAAACTAATGAAAAGAAAAATTTAAAAATAGTAGAAGGACAAAAAATAAAATAATAATTCCAGAATCATAAAAATATAGCTCTGAAATAATCTTGTGGAGTCAGAATAATTTTGATAGCAACTTTTGTGTGGAACCAAAAATAATAACCCAGTTTTATTTATTAATATAGATGCAGGAATTCTAAACAAAATGTCAATAAATACAATGCAACAGTAGCTAAAAAAAAAAAAGTAGTTTGACCAAGTAGAATCTCTTCCAGGAATGTAAATATAGATCAATTTTTTAATGTATAAATAAGAATTATTGTTAAATTAAAGGAGAAAATCATTTGGTCAGTCAATCAATACTGAAAACTCATTAGTCATTCCTAATAGAAAGTTCTAAGTAGAATAGGAATAGAAGGGCATCTCATACTCTGTACCTAAAGCTGAAAGGAAAATGAAAATTCTCTGAATAATGATACATCAAAGCCTATTCCACTAAAATAAGAAACAAGTTATGGAGGCCTACTATCAATATTATTAATCAGCATTGCATACTAGGGTTCTAGAAAACGTGGTAGGACAAGAAAAGAGAATATATGGTGAAAATTAGAGGAATAAAGGGTATTGTTTTCCTCATTTTGCAATTCCACACATAGAAAACTCATGAGGTATTATTTAAAAATCACTAGTATGAATAAGAAAATTTACTAAACTGAACATAAAACCAATAGCCAACTAAAAATAGAAATAAAGAGGGATAAATTCTCACCCACAATAACAATAAAAACCATGAAATATTTAGGAATACATTTGGGCTAAGAGGTGTTGTAAATTTTTATTATGAACATAAGAATATATATTAATAAATGAAAAGACATACCATATTATGACTGGGAAAGTTTAATATCAAAAATTAATTCTACCCAAATTAATGTATGAATATCATGTAATGACAATAAGAATCACATTGAGTCTTCTCACAAAGCCTATCTTGGGCAAAATTTGCTAAGGGTGCAATTACAAAGGATAAAATCTTTATCTAAAAAATTGTAATGGAGTTTATGTCACAGTGACTGGCTGGAATGATTCACTGGGTCGTTTGTCACTTAAAAGTCTGGTATAATCAGGTGTCGCTGTGTCTGCTTGTTCTATGGTTCTTTTGTATGTTAGGAAACAAGTGGAGCATAGACAGAATGCACCTTGGGCACTGTCACATTTTTGGTACAGCAAGCTACCAAAGCAGGTCTGCTCTGCCTTTTCTATTTACATCTCCTTCTGAGTGTGGTAGCCAATAGGGGGAAGTTGTGTTAAGAAAACAAGAATTGATGATGAAATGGAAAATAAGTTATCGGTGTTTCCATTTAGGATTGTTCTCCTCCATCATGCGGGATCTTGCCAACATTTCCCATGATGGACCCAAATGGATTTTACTGGATGGTGACATAGATCCAATGTGGATTGAGTCTCTGAACACTGTCATGGATGACAACAAGGTATCAAAGGTGGGGATATCCCCACATCAGTTCTAATCATCTATTAAGCTGGTTCCTGTGTGGTGAGCACATTTGGAAATCTAAATTCCACAAGATGGCTGGACAAGAGTTAGCAACTACCACAGGTATCTGTGAAGACATCTCCCAACAGATAGATTCCCACTAGCAACCTTGGCCTGCTTCAGTGGTACTGCCATTGCTCACCTCATTTATGGCATGGTTGTAATTTTCTTCAGAATGTCCTGCCTACAGACTCATTTTATATTTAGAGCTTAAAAGAATTTTAAGTCATCTATTCAAATCTTTTTTCTAATTCTAATTCCTATAAGTAAGAAAATTAAGCATCAGAAACACTATGAGCCTGTCAAATACCCTCCATGGTGGTAAATATCCATCCATTGAGAGTTCATGTATTTTTTTATAAATAATGAAAATTAAGTGAATGCCAACAAAATGGCTGTTAAGCTGATAGCTACTCCTAAACTTGTGCAAAAAGCACATCCAGATTGGAAGTGTTAAAATGGCTTCAACATTCACAGAATCATCAAGAATAAATGCATGCTCTCCCAGCGGGACTACTTAGAAGGAAGAGCAGTAATATGAAACTGAAGCACTTTTCTTTTAATAGTTTTATTATTCCAAAGTGATCTAGTTCATTCAAATTATCGACATCAATTTAAACAGTTTAAATAACTTTTTCTTCCTGATTCTACAGACACACACGCAGAGGACAAGAAAGTGGGATTGGAGGGGGGTGCAGAGGAAGATAATATTGGTGTAGTAGAAAGTAACATATAATAAAAAAGAAGAAAATAGTATCCTGACTTTGTTTTGTGCTACTATATAAAGTACTAGAGACCGAGTAATTTATAAAGAAAAGATACTTATTTGGCTCATTGTTCTGGAGGCTGGAGAATCCAAGATTGAGGCACATTTGGCGAGGGCCCTCTTGCTGTGCCATCTCACTCAGCAAAGAGAAGTGCAAGAGAGCAAAGAATGGAACTCTCAGCCCCAAATACTTTTACAGTCAGCATTAATCTATTTGAGAGTGGAGGCCTCTTAACCTCATCACCTCTGAAAGGCACCACTTCTTAGTGTTGTTTTATTAAGGATTAAGTTTCCAGCACATAAGAAGCATAATCAAACCACAGCACATCCACACCCTGACTGGCAATAATCCACCAATCTCACCAGTGGGCAGTGCCTGTAGCTCCTCCCCATAGTGGATGTTCTCCTTGCTCTTCCCAGGTGCTGACCTTGGCGAGCAACGAGAGGATCCCTCTCAACCCCACCATGCGGCTCCTCTTTGAGATCAGCCACCTGCACACAGCCACTCCAGCAACCGTCTCCAGAGCAGGTAAGGCCCCACAGGTAATGCTGCTCAATGAAGACAGGTTCCCCAAGGCCAGAAACCTGATCATCCAAGCTCTGGCCTAGTTCTCATTCCTAATCCACATCCACAAAGGCAAACAGGTGCTATACAACCAGTCATCTAATTTCATTAATTCATAAGTGTTGTGGCATGCAAAGGGAAATAGCCAAATAGCCTCTGAACTGGACAGCTGTACACTGCACATAAGTGTCTTGAGTTAAGCTACTTTTAGGTCATGTCTAACCTCCAAGTCAATGGAGATGACCAACCATTGCCATATCTCATTAACTCCTGGTGGAAAATATCAATGTTACCATAACTTTCTTCTATCTCCATGATTAAATTTATTAGCAGAGAGTAGAAGATAAGAACCTAGTTAGCAAAATAATCAACCTTAAAGAAATAGAGTGCATAATGGTGGTTTCTAAGGCTTGGGGCAGGAGGAAACAGGAGATGTTGTTCAGAGGGCACAAAATTTCAGTGATGCAGGATGAAGAAGCTCTAGAGATCTGCTGTGCAACACAGTGCTGATAGTTAACAATACTGTATTGTGTACTTTAGAAATTTTGCTAGGAAGATAGATCTCAGATCAAGTGTTCTTCCACACACACACAACCAAAACAACAACAACAAAAATAAAAGCAGAGAACAGAGCATGAAGAAATTTTTGAAGGTGATATTTTTATTACCTTCATTGTGGTGATAGTTTCACAGAGGGATGCATATATCCAAATTCAACAAACAGTATACATTAAATATGTACAGTGATTTATATATCAATTATACCTCAGTAAAACTATAAAAAATATTTTGCAATTGAGAAGGGATCTAGAGACAGAGGGAGGGAAACAAAAAAATTAAGATGTGTTATATACATATACCAGTTCCCCCAATGAATCCATCATTATGTACTGCAAATATGTACTAATAAATTTCTTAATTTAAAAATAAAGTTTTGATTTTTTATAAAATAACAAAATAAAAAATAATTTTAAAATAAAATTTTGATATCTATCAAAATATCAGATTCCTCTTCGTGGGCCTCTGCTGAGACTGGTGTACGTGGGACAGGAGAATTGTCTCCTACTTTGTATTACTTTCCTGGTTCTGCTGTAATAAGCATAACAAATCACCATAAACTTGGTGACTTTTTTAACAGCAGAAATTTATTCTCTCACATTTGTGGAAGTCAGGTGTAAACATCAAGATCAGCAAAGCTGCATTCCCTCCAGGGGCTGTAGGGGAGAATTCTTCCTTCCCTCTTCCAGCATAAGTGCTCACTGGCCTGTGGCCCTGTGACTCTTCTTCACACAGCTCTCATCTACAGGAATCTTTCCCCTTCTGTCTCCTATAAGGACCTTTATGGATGACCCACTCAAATAATCCAGGATAATCTCATCCCCACATCTTTAGTTTAACTAACATCTGCAAAGCCCATTTTTTCCAAATAAAGTCACATTGACAGGTTGCAATAGTTGGGTCATGGACCTCCATTCAATTCACTGTGTGCTCTCACACCATGTAACCAGTATTACCAATCAATCACAACATCTTTTCCTCCTGAGCCCGGACCTGGCCTTAGGATCCTTCTCAGCACTGTTCTACACTCATTTGTCATCTGTCAGTTGGTATTGGATTCGCAATAGCAAAGCCACAGGTCTCCTCTGACCTAGGCCAGGTATCTGTTCTTTAAATTCAGTCTTCTGTACATTCCTAAAGAGAGAAGATAATTTAATTCCCTAGGGTGAAGAATATACTGATGGATATGGAACATTCACCGCACACTGTTCTCTGTATTCTCAGGGATCTTATACATCAACCCTGCAGACCTCGGATGGAACCCTCCAGTGATCAGCTGGATTGACCAGAGGGAAATCCAGACAGAGAGAGCCAACCTAACCATTCTGTTTGACAAGTATCTTCCAACCTGCTTAGACACACTCAGAACCAGGTAGGCCAAGAAGCAAGGATGGTAGCAAGCTAATGCAGCAATAAAGAGCCCACTGGCTCCCATTTGATATCCTGCTGATGTTCTGTCCTGTCCCCAAAGTCAGAAACCTCCAGGCACAGCAGATGGCAGAGGAGAATACACATTAGGATGGCCACGGGATGCTTATTGTCAGTTCAGACAAGAGGAGAGTTGAGTGAAGAGGATGAAGATTTAAAATGCCTTTCATCAGTGCCACATGGGTCTGTCTGAAGGAGGCAGGTGATTATAATATCAGATAGCAATCCTGGGGCTCAGCTCTCTCAGTTTGCAGGGCAAGCAGCTGGCCCTCCCACAGGCCAGGCCAACAGGCCTAAAAGTGAAGATGACACTTGTCAAAGACACAAGGGACTCACTTCCTGTTCCTGGCTATGTGTGATCATTACCCAAATAATGTGGGATTGGATATAATGCATCATTTGACTGGTCCTGGCAGCTGGAAATTATGAGTTCACTTTTCTTCTTATGGTTTTGAAAAAGTAAAAGTAACATGTCCTGATCACCTGTGTCAGACAGCTTTCCTTTAGTACTATTATTATAGGTAGGTAAGTTAGTTAGAAATATTGTAGGCAATCAAACAGGAATAGGCCCTTGAAGAAGTCAGTGCAGAGGATGAGAACACATTACAACTGTGGCTGGAGGTACATTCATTGAAAGCCAGGCCTCAAGATAAAGATGAAATGACTACACCTACTTACTTCCCCAAGGGATGAGCAATAATGATTGATATTCTAAACAGGCATCAGTCACCTTGGGTGGGGGACCAAGACCTCCTAACCTACCCCTTCCAGGAAAGGTCCTTGTTCTTTCCATGTACACTTGCTACATAACTTGCTTCCCCATTGGATCATTATTACCTAAGCAACTATACTTGTAACCTAATTGGTTGATCATAGTTTTGTCTCACCTTGTACCCACATCCTGTCTTCACACCCACCTCGTGATTTTGCTCTATAAAGCTTCCCCTGTAAGTGGAGTCCATGGAAACCCACTTTCCAGGTCTCCTCCTGTCCTTCTCAGCCAGGAGCTGTCTATCCCTCAATAAATATTTCCTAAACTCCATTGTTCCCAGAATTCATTCTTTAATTTTGGAGAACACAAACTCCATGTATCAGACATCTAACAGGTTGGAAGTTACATCTATTTCCCTTATATCATCCCTAGATCACTATGGCACATACCTGAGATAATAAACTTAAAAAACGAAAGGGTTTATTTTGGCTCACAACTGTAGAGATTTCAGCCCATCAGTTGGCCCTGGTGCTTTCAGCCTGTGGCAGCTCATCATGGCAGGAGCACGTGGCAGAGTCAAACCACTCACTTCATGTCTTGGACCTGAAAGAGAGGAAAAGACTAGAGTCTCACACTCTCCATGAGGACACACCACCAGGGGCCTGAAGACCTCCCACTAGGCTCCACCTCTTAAAGATTCCATGTCCTTCCTATCGGGACCACAAGAGGGCAGCACAGAGAGGTTCTCATACTTGAAACGTGCTTCTGCTTTATAGTCTCTCTCCCGTTGTCCATCACTCAAAATGAACCCTGGCCCCTTCTTTATCGGTCCCTCAAACATGGGATAGGATTGTGGTTCTGACTGCTCACAAGTGTGGAGATAGAAGGAAAAGGAGAATTTCAGACTGCAGCAAATGACCCCTGGTCATTCTGTTCTGTATGTCATGCCCATGACTCTAAGACATCCATCCACATTAAAAGTGAAATTTATCTGGCTCAGTTATGAAAACAGAGTTACAATCTAGTAGTTGACATACTGGTATGTTTTAGTTATTTAATGAAACATTAATCTTGATTCTATAGTTTTTATATTCAGGGTCAGTATTATTTTTCCAAATGTCAACATCTTCATGAGCCTTTGAAAACTTTCAGCCCCTGATGGTCCATGGGTTCTATGGCCTCATGGTCTGATGCAACCCTGGTAGCCATCAAAGTCTGAAAAGTAGGAATATGATTAGAATCACAGATGATTCAATGCGATAATAAGTTAAAAAGCCAGAGCAGAGTGAGGTTTTAGGAAAATAGTCTTTTCTTCCCCTTTATCTTTTGCTGGGATGTTTGTCTGACATATCCATTGACTAAAACTCAGGTTATTTTGACTCTGGACAGTTAGAATAAGAGATGCCAAACTCTTGTGCATCTATGTGTTGGTGCATGACAAGCCTTTGAAACAAGCTTTGAAGATTCTGACTGTATTAAGTCTATCCAGAGCAAACTCCTCCTTATCTCTGAGCTCTACAGTTACCAAGAAGGGAGAATATAATTAATAATGGTAGCTGTCATTTCAAGAACCTACTCTAAGTGGTCTTCCATTTCCTTCTCCCAGCCCTTCCAAGAGGCTGTCCATCCTGAAGATGGGGGGGTGGAGGTTCACAAAGCTCCCATGCATCATAGCCAGCTAGTAAGAGAGGTGCTTACCTAATGCTGGCTTTGTGCAGCACTAGTACTAGAAAGCTGTACAATTTCAACACATAGTAGTTTTTTTATTGAACAGGGGGTTATTGTAAAGCAACTTTGTTTTGTTTCCCATGGTCCTTTCAAAACTATTTTACATTGGGCCGGGGATTTAGCTCAGTGGCACCGTGCCTGCCTCACAAGCACAAGGTCCTGAGTTCGATCCCTGGTACCAAAAAAGAAAACAAACCTATTTTACATGGCTGGTTCTCCTCCTGCCCCTGGATAAAATCTAGGTAAATGTCCACAACTTTTCTGGTCATTCCTCAGAAATAAAAAGCCAACTAGTCACTCCTCCTCACACCCATGCACACATGCACATGTGCACACAGAGGTGTGTCAGTCTCCAGTGAAACTTTAAAGAAATCCAGCTCATAATGGAAGCTCCTGCCTGCCCCTGCCCTGGCAGCACAGGCCTGCAGTGGCAAAGGGGGCTATCCTTGACTTCTCTCCTTGAAAGTTATTCCTTCTGGCTACATAAGTTAAAGAGAGAAGAGGGGAGGGGGCAAGAGAAGTCTCGTTTGTCTGGATCTGTGAGATTGTGATTCCTGTAACTCTAGCAGATCTTAAAATCTGACTCTTTCTCTTTGGGGGATTTTGGGAGTTTCCTGGACCTCTCACTGTCACTAGAGATGTCCTGTTTGAATTCCCTGAAGAAAGTGTGTGCCTGTTCTTCAGTCAGTGACGTGCTGCTCTTCACCCAATCCTCTCCACCTATCCAGGGACCCCCTTAGCCAGCATCTCAAACAAGCTCACACCCATGCCAGGAAACACTAACCCTTCTATTGCTTTGACAAACTGGAGCCCAAGCTTTCCCAGAAAGAAACCTCTCTACACTCCATTGTGAGAACTGCCAGGCTTCTTGAGGCTTCCCGAATGCGAGTCCTTCACCAGCTCCAAGTAATCTGAATGAAGCTCCCTTCCCTAGCTGTCTATCAGAAGCCAGCCCTGCCTTCCCTATGGAGAGAGGTACTTATTGCACACCAGGACTTTCCTCAAAATCCTATCTGCTTCTTTCCAGCTTCCCTCACTTCCATCTTTAAGACCACTGGGAGCATAAGAGACCAAGGTTGATCAACCATTTTCAAGTCCCACCTAAGTTGTCTACCATCTTGTTTTGAAATGAGGGCAGCTGGCACCATTGTCTTGTGCCTCAGCCAACACTGAGCCTGAGATAATTGCTTTGTAACGTTCTGTCACAAATATGCGTCAAATGAATGAAAGAAGAGCTATCAAGGTGCATTTCTCATTACTCATGGGAGTAATACCTAGTATTTTGGACCATGTCCAAACATTGTTATAAGTATCACACTCAGATTAAAAGCAGACACAAATACATAAAACTAGAGAGAGTGACACACTGTGCACTCCAAGATCCAAGGCTGGAAACAGCATCTAGAGTGGCAGTTGATTGTATTTCTCATCTTATGACAGCAAACTCTGCCTCTGTGTAACCTGTGATCACATCATCCTGAGACAGGTGTTGGTGTGAGTGAGTGTGTGGGTGTGTGCTGTTTATACACACAGAAGGGAGGGAAAACTAGGAAGAGAAAAGGTTGTGTGTTTGTACATGTGTGCATGTGTATCCACTCCTAGTTTCTTGGGCATAGGATGTCTTTTGTGCATCTCTTGACATCTTCTTTTCAATTGAGACATTTAAGGCCAAGATTTAAAGTACAAACACAAGGCCCAGGAACATCACAGAGGTACATTTTCAGCACAGATTTCCATGCCACATTTTCAATGCACAATTTAGTTCTGTTCATGATTGTATAAAATCATCATCTACCCGCATTCCTTGTACTGCCTAGATAAGACTGTCATCCTAGAAGCATGGTCACTGTTTATCTGGGGGAAAAAAAACTCTAAGGTAAAGGGAATGAAAGGACAAACCTCATAATTCCACCCAAATTGACTGTTTCAATGCTTCTTGTCAGTTGGAGAAATTGTGAGAAGAGTCAAAAGGTGAGGTATTGGCTTATTTTGTTGAGGTCTCCTACATTTCCCAAGGACTGAGAGGGTATTGTCAGTGCAAAAAGGGAAGGGAGGTATAAGACAGAAGGAAGAAGAGAGAATGAACTTTCTCAGGAGAGCTCCAGCCCTCATGTCTGCACAAAGCAAAGCACCTGGAAAAGGCCTGATGGGAACAAAGGTTTAAACCACACTCAGGGACCTTGACAGATCAGGTCCATTGAAGCCATAGGGCTCTGTAGCTGTCTGACAAGCCTCTATAATGGAATGGCCATGGGGCTTTAGAGCATATTCTTCTCTCTGCAGATTTAAGAAGATAATTCCAGTCCCAGAGCAAACCATGGTTCAGATGGTGTGCCATCTTCTTGAGTGTCTCCTGACCAAGGAGGACATCCCTGCAGACTGCCCCAAGGAGATCTATGAGCTTTATTTTGTGTTTGCTGCCATCTGGGCTTTTGGAGGGGCAGTGGTCCAAGATCAGGTAAGGTGATGTGCTGAGCTCAAGACCCACACGGAAATCTACAATAGCAAAACCTGACCCTCTGCAAAGATTGGGAAGACAGGATGGCTAATTGTTAGTGTTGACTTGAAAATATAGAACTCTTTAGTCATCTACCCACTGTCCTGCTAAAGCCATCAGCCCCTGTGACAGGGCATAACAGACAGAAAAGGTGTGTTTGAGGCTGTTGTCCTTTGAGTTTGTAGATGTATCTCTGCTTTCATTCAGTTTTGCAGTGTTGGAGTTTGAACAACTGCTGATGTATGTTCCCTCTTTCCCAGGTGATATGTGTTGTCTAAAGAGAGGTGGAAGGCTGTTGTGCAGTAGAAACACAAGTGGAAAGAATACTTTCAGCCTTCTAAAAAAATCTTTCAGGAGGATGTAGTGCTATGTACCAGGCCAGAGTTAGCCAGCATGTCTCCATGCCCCAAAACGCAGGGCTGTCCAGAGAAGACTGGGCCAAATGTTAATTAATAGGCATCTAAGTTTGGGAAACCAAAGTCATGCTTAACCTCATGGTGTAGCCTCATGCTATTTAGGGGTAGGAATGTAGGCTAGAAATATCCTGGTATCCTCTATTCCATACCCATTCCTGTATTCACAACCTTTGTTTTACTTCTAAATAAAGGATTTTATCTAGAAACAACATATTTAAGATTATGAAAAGAAGTCTCTTACAAATGACTGTAGGTATCAGGAAATGTTATATAGAGGTTAAGAACATGGATTATGTTGACACATTTTTAAGTATATGGTGCAATATTATTAACTATAGGTGCTATTCTGTACATTTATTCATTTTGGACTTATTCATCTTGTATAATTGAAATTATACAACATGGAGTATGAGTGGGGAGGAGTGGATAAAGGGACATATTGGCCAACTCATACTCCATTCTGCTCCCTATGAGTTTGGGTATTGTAGATTCATCAGATATAGGGTATCATGTAATATTTGTCTTTCTGTATCTGGCTTATGTCACATAGTTTAGTGACCTTCAAGTTCATCCATGTTGTCACAGATGGCAGGAAGTTTTTCTTTCTAAAAATATTTTTTTGTTAAGAGAATAGTTCTTATATTTGGTATTCTTAACATGAGCAAAACAATAGTGACAATAATAAGAATGTGAGAGGAAATTTAGGGATGTTAGGTTTATTTATCATTATGGTGATGGTTTCACCAGTGTATACTTATACAGCTCAAGTTTTGTGTACTAAATATGTACAAATTTTTGTACATTAATCATATTGAATACTGTGATTTTTTTAAAGTAGCTGAGAAAAAGCAAAAAAAAAAAATATGGATTGTGGATTTGAATTACAACTTTACCATTATTACCTGGGAGATAATGAACAAAAAGTTTAACCTTTCTCTACCTTACTTTCCCCATGTGTCCAAAGGACAATGGCAGTGGTACCTAGCTGCTGAGTCTGTGGAGAGAATTAAATGAATGCATGCTGTTCTAATCATCCACTGTGAATGTGTGCAAAGCACTTATAGCTGTGCTGGCATGTGTATGTGCTTATTATTAATATTATCTTAGCATAAAAAGTTGGTTTTATAGCAAGTACCTGGTGCCTCTCTCACAACAGGGGACTAGACCAAGCTGCAGTTTGGGGGAAGTTCTGATTTACCTTTCCTGGTCTGAGTTGATTATGAGCCTCTTTCAGGAGGGGTAAAAAGTTTCAGCCTTATAAAGCAAAGCCAAGTTCAAGGACTCCAAAAGGAAGTGGATTGGGATCAAGAAAGTTACTGATGAACTTCTTTTCAGTTTTCACATGCTCCAGTTCTAGCATCCATCCTGGCTTTGTCATTCCCTAATGTGTTCCTGGGTGCTTAGAATTCAGAAAGCAGCTCTCAAAGAGTCTTCAAAAATATGCCTTTCCCCCTCTCCCTACCCAGAACCAGATGCCCTGGGGGCAGAGAAGGAAACCCCCAGGGCAGAGCTGTAGGATGCACAGACCAAGAATTTGATATCCGAGGATGTGTGCTGTCTGCTCTGCAGTGCTCAGAGCTTCTCTGTGAACTCCATCTTTGACAGCTTTACATTCCCCCTTCGAGGCAAGTAGGCAAAGAGTCCAGCAGGATGGACAAGACTTGGCTGAAAAGCACAGAGGTCCCAAATGTATAGATTATTGCTTTCCCTCAAATACAGTTGCTGACCTTTCAGCTGATGAAATGCCAGGCAGCAACCGCTCGGCTTCTGTCCCATATTGGTGCCAAACAGGCAGTGGGCATATCAGAATGAAGACACTTGGTCAATTTTTCTATCTCTATATAGAACATTTTAAATCCACTTACTCTTTTTAAAAGCTCAAGAGAAAACATCTCCCATCCTGGGTGTTCTGAAAGCTGGAGCACTTGAAACTGTAGGTAGCCATGCTGGAACATGGAGAGAGGACATAGGAGAAAGCTTTTAGCAGCAGGGAGTGTCCGAGACTCCTGCATAGTCCAAGTTAATGCTAAACACCAAAAATGGTACCATAATTAGAAAGTAGGAATTTGGCCAAAATGTTTGCATCAGGAACACCAATAGTGCTTACATTTTAAAAGCAGTCATTAAAGCAATACAGAAATACAAAATATACCTTTCTACACCTGCAGAAAGTTCTGATTGAAATAAATGAAACAAAATAAAACAGTGTCCTGGCTAAGTATTTTGCAGCAATCCTAGAAAATGATCTTTTGGTCAGTGAAATAGTAGAGAGATTGGGAGGCTGAAAACGTGAGTTCAACTCTCAGTTCTGTTTAGCCCCAAACTTCCCTACAGTAAGACGGTAAAATATTAGTGTCATCCAGGTTAAAGGACAGAGGGGGAACAAAAAATTGTGTGAATCCAAAGGAGATGGGGATTTTTGAGGGGCCCTATTCATTAAGATGCATTGCTGAAAATAGGCCCATAGAGCTAACTGGAGAAAGGACCACTGGATCAGCTGAGCAGACATCACCTGACACTGCAGTGTCCAATTTAGCAAAAGCTGAGGTCAAAGTGAGGTGGGTGAGACAGCATTAATGTGACCTAGCCAACAACTTGGTTAAGAAACTGACCAGGTAGAATGAGCTGGAATGAGGGGTGAGGAAGGGGGAAGATCCACACATTATTCTTTCTAGAGATGGCTCTTGTCTTTGAGTTTCCATATAAACCCAAATCTGGTCTTTATAGAAAGTTAAAAGTCTTCAAGAATCATATCCATTAGTTAAAAATGAGGTTTTCCTCGGGCTTGTAATTAAAGAGAACAATATTGGGAAGCTACAATGTCCCCTTAATCTGAATTCAAATGAGAATCAGAACAGCAAATAAACCTGGCCTTGTCTTAAGACTTATTTCCATTCTCATTTTAAATCCTGCTTACTGATTAGACAGCACACTGAGAAGTACCCCTCCCTCAGAGTCCACATTTGTTTCCATGCACCCAGCTCCATCATGCGTGCAGCCTTAGAACTCTGCCTTCATCCTGTCCTTCTAGATATCCAATCTGAGCCTCTTCCTGGTTTAGGATTTTTCTTCTGTCTGTATGTTCAAAGGGTGGGATGACTGTCACAGCATGATGTGTGTGTGTGTATGTGTGTGTGTGTGTTTGTGTTTCAGCTTGCACACAGTAGCACAGTTTGAGCACACTGAGTGCTAAGCCCTATCTTTAAGGACTTGATGGTCACTGTGATGACACGTGGATTATATGCCTCTATTTTCTATTTACTCCTATCAGACGAACTAGTATAATTTTGTTTCCTCTGCTCCTCTCAGATTTTAGAATTTTACTTCTTGGAAAAAAAAAACTTTAAAATCTTCTTTCCTTTTTTTATAGATGAAGAAACTAGGCATGGAAAGAAGTGGTTACATGCCTGACTCTTCTGCAGCTCTTGCACTCAACTGCACCATGTCCCCAGGTCTTAGCAGTCCCCTCTGACTGCCATCCTGGGAATTAGTCAGTCTCAGGTGTCCAGGAGGATGGAGGCAGGTGTATTTCTTCAGGAGGTCTTTGTCCCCATTTACCCTTCATGTGCCTCTCTCTACCCTTCTTGCATCCTTTCTCCCACAAACTTCTCTGCCTTTTGAGGAATATAAGACATGTTTATCTTAGTGTTTTTTCTATCGCTCTGAGTAACACAGATTAAGTAATTTATAAAGAATAGAGGTTTATTTGGCTCTCAGTTCTGGAGGCTGGAAGTCCAAGAGCATGGCACTGGCATCTTGTCAGCATCTGGAGAGGGTGTCCTCGGACTGTATCATAACGTGGTAGAATGCATCACATGGTGAGATAGAGTAAGTGTGCCAGCCTCGGTCCTTTTCCTCTTCTTATAAATCCACTAATGCCACCATGCAGCTCCCCTCAGGAGCTCATCTGATTCTAATTACCCCCAAAGTCCCCACCTCCAAATACCTTTCATACGTAAGTTTAGGGATTAAGTTTCCAACACACGACTTTTGGGCCACACACCGGACCACAGGGATACTCCAGAGCACCAGCTGCCTGCTTGGCTAGGCCTTTTCAGAACTGGTCCTTGGGAAAGCTTCTCCCTGGGGAAGCTGGTCCACCCAGCAGGCCTGCACAAGCAGGAGCTCCTTGTGTTCTGTTCTGCTCTTCTGTCAATGCCAGAGCCACCTGCCTGGGCTTCTTGAGCTCTGGAGATCGTGGTTCCCTAACTTGCTTTGCTTTTGCAGCTTGTGGACTACCGGGCAGAGTTCAGCAAATGGTGGCTGACTGAGTTCAAGACAGTCAAGTTTCCTTCCCAAGGAACCATCTTTGACTACTACATAGACCCAGAAACCAAGAAATTTGAGCCTTGGTCCAAGCTCATCCCCCAGTTTGAATTTGACCCTGAGATGCCTTTGCAGGTGAGTGGCAGAGCAGCCAAGGATCTACAGCAGCTCTCAGTGGCCATCCCATATGGCACCCGAGTGTTTGACCTTGTTAGGAAGAAGTTGGTCCCCAGCTTTTTCAAATTACAGGTGTAAAGAAGCCACAGGTTCCCCTGAGAGATAGTAAACAAATATCAAACCCAACCAGCATCTCCAAGGTGATCAGAGGAAGGAGATGGCAGGGCCAGAAGATACAATGGAGATACCACGGGGAGGCAGACCAAGAGCTAAGGAGAGTAGGGAGCTTTCTATTCAACTGCCAGGAATCCCAGAATTAGTTTATAGACTGGACTTGCTGCCGGATTAGGAAATGCACCCCGGCTCATTGAGATAGAATCCCCTCTTCTGCAATGCTGGGGAACATCGCATGGTGCAGTTGTTTCTCCCTTGAGGCTCATCATGTTCCTGTTCCAGGCGTGTTTGGTGCACACAAGTGAGACTATCCGAGTTTGCTACTTCCTGGAACGGCTCATGGAGCGACGGCTGCCCGTCATGCTGGTGGGCAATGCAGGCACTGGCAAGTCAGTGCTGGTGGCAGCTAAGCTGGCCAGCCTCAACCCTGAGGAATACCTGGTGAAAAATGTGCCTTTCAACTATTACACCACATCTGCAATGCTTCAGGGTAAGGGACCATTCGCCTGGGGTGCAGAGTCTGGGCGGCTGTGTTGCCTTATCTGGAGCTTGAGCAGAGCACTCAGTGCCTACCTCAGTTGGCCTCCTTCGAATCCCAGCATGGTGCCTTTCCTTCCCCATCCCCTGCTCACCTCTCCCCTCCTTTCTCCTCCTCACACCTCTGCGCTGCTTCTCTGGCACCCAGCATCTCTGACCTGTTTTGTGCCCTTTCTCCTGTTGTTCCTCCCTGGTTTGTAAAATTCCTCTGGGGCCAGGTGCTCATGTTCAGCACAGAGCAGGGCAGCACCCTGAATACAGTGATCTGATGGACATGGGGACTTCAGGCCCAGGAAGCGTCTCTAGAGATTGTTTCATCCACCTCTCATGTGGCAAAGATGGGGAAACTGAGGCTAGGGTAGAAGGGTGTGATTGCCTAAGGTCACCACCAAGTGGCACCATCCAGTCTTCAGAGTCTACCTGGGTCCTGTCCTGCACCAGGAGTTTCCACACTGGGCTCCAAATGGAACTGGGCCTTTTGGGTACTGCTTTTGATCAGAGGCTCACTGCAGATACCTTCTCCTTGCCAGAGTCATGTCCTCCTTAACCCTGTCTTATAAGAAGGTCTCCCTTCTTGCAGAAACACTCAACACATTAACTGAAAATGCTTTCATTTGAGAAAGTGTCCATGCCATTTTACAAAAAAAAATGAGGGAAGAGGCACAATTAGGAGGAAACCCCTCCTTACTTCCCAAATAGCAATGGCCCTGCCCCACCTTCTGTGACTCAGCCTGGGCTTTCTCACATCTAAGATACAAACTCCACAAAAAGTAAGAAGTTGAATATATGTGCTGTTTGCAGGCCGATGTGCTATAAGCCATGGTCTAGAACAGGAAAAGTGAACCCAGTAGTCTCTCTGTCTGCATCATCCATGCTTTGACCCAGCAAACCTACAGAACAGGCTTTATGTGGACCATTACTCACCCAGCCTGGATACTTTCCCCAGGCCCACACAGTCTCTGCCTGTGTGAATCTGCAACCACTGTGGTGCTCTTGCCTGGTGCTACTTCCTGGAGCTGCTCATGGAGTGCTTGCTAATTGTCCCTCCTCTTTGCACAGTTTTGCCAGCTTTGCCAGGATCAGGACTCAGCCAGCTTCGAATGCTGGTCAGGAGTAGTACTGTCTGTCCTCTACCTCTTAAAGCACTCAGGAGCCTAGAACATATGAACTACTGCCCCCACTATCCTGCAGAAAGACTTATTCACTTCTTTTTAAGACCGGCCTCTGGACTTTATCCACTGCTGAATCCATAAATGTCTCACAAGTCCAGTCCCCGCCCAGTAGTTCACTGTAGTTCCAACATGAACCTTAACAAGTAAAAAGGAAATGACTGTTGGAACTTTATTCATTATCAAAGATGTGAGCATCTTCCACCTACATACTGAAATAATTTTAGTACTCTTCACAATTGTAACAGTTACAGACTTGTTCACTCTTTCAGTTTTACTCTGCATCATTAACATTTTGTCTATCATTATCTTAAGTGTACAAAACAAGCCAAGCCCTGGTTTGTGCTTTAGCATTTGCCAATTTCTGTAGTATAAATAGTCCCACTGTGGCCAAGGGCAAGCTGCTAATTGTGATGTCAGTGAGCAGGGAGTGGGGGAGAGATGTACCACGGCTCACTGTTTTAAAGTGTTTCCAGCTGGGTGTGCTGGTGTTGGCCAGTAATCCCAGCACTTTGGGAGGTTAAGGCAGGAGGATCACAGTTAGAGCACAGCCTGGACAACGTCGTGACTTCCAAGACCTTCTCTCAAAGTGAAAAATAAAAAGAGGGCTGGGAATGTAGTTCAGTACAAAGGCCCCAGGTTCAAACCCCAGTACCGCAAAAAGAAAACTGTGTTTCCACGTGACAGATAGACTAGATGGAAATAACCTCAAGGGCACAGACAGTGGTAAATGTGCTAAATTAATTAGAATGTGACGAGTTTGAAATATCAACATTGTTTTAATAATTTATACTTGATTATAAATTTATTAATTTATTTTTTAAATGTTCTCATTTAACAGCAAGCTTGCAAGATGCCTTTAGTTTCGGTCAGCTCTGGGAAATGACTGGCTTCATCTTCACTCCTCCAGGCCAAGCATGTGCTGTGGCACCCTTCCACTGTGGCCTGGTGCCATCACATCAGCACCTAGTGCTAGCGGTCATAAGACTTAGCCTGCCCAACTGATCCAAATATGAACATTCATCAGTTTGCCTAATGTGGTTCCTCTTTCTTCTTCACGGAAACATATTTATAAGCCCTGAGTCCAGCAAATGATCAGATTACCAGCTCTGCCTATTTACTCCCATTCTATTCCTGTAGCTACATCAGTCACTAATAATAATAACAACTCGCTTTTACCAACACTCTCCAGGTGTGTGACAGGAAGTAATCTGACTTTAAACTTTCACACCTGTTTTACTTATTTAATCTTGTACAGCCTTGTGAAATAAATACTCTACTTAGATTACCTCCAGTTCATGAATGAGAAAACCAAGGCCCAGAGAGTTACACAAGCTTCCCTGCAGCATGGAGTAAGAGGTGTAGCCAAACTTTGAACTCAGACAGTTTGACTGCAGAGCCTGTATTCTGAACCACTAGGCTATCCTGCCTTCCTGGTAAGAAAATACATTAGAAAGTGCTATAAGTATTTGATATTATTATATTATCATCCGCAGTACAATTCAAGCATTCCAGAGGAGCAATTTTCTATAATCGTACTAAATTCATTTTATAATGTAAAAAAAATTTAATAGAAGGTGCAATTTTAAGCTAAGGAGAAGAAGATAAACTTCTTATACTGCACTGTCCTGTAGTTCTCTGGATCCCTCACCTAAAGGAATTGATTTTTTCCTTTGCTCCTGTTGTAACACTGAGAGTGGTTCAGAGAAGCCATAAAATGCAGTCAAATAGAGACAAGATGAATGCTGGCTCTCACTATAGCTGGACATTCACCAGAACAGCACTTTCTGTCCCTGGTAAATTCCCTAATGGCCTTTCCATGGTGCCATCCCCGCCCTCTCTCCACCAGGGGATGGATAAAGCAGCTATCCTGTTACCCACCCACCCAGAACCCAGAGCAGCTGGCATCTGTGCACAGAGCCCTGCTCTTGGTTCTCAGAGTTGCTAAATTCCCTTACCTGGAAAATGCTTCTAGCAATCCTGGCTTCTAAAACATTTTAGGAACAACAATGTGGTAGGAGAAACGGTTCTGCCACCAGTTAGAAAAGTGGGAGCCAGAAACCCAGTATCAAAGAGAGAATGAGAATACTGAAAAAGAAGATGCATGAACTCAGAAGAGAGCTGCTGTGGTATTGTTCAGTGAAGAGGGAAACACTTGCACCTGCTGCAGGAGTCCACTACTCTTTTGCAGCCCAGTATTTGAACTGCCATTTATACTTACAATGCTAAGTATTTAGGACAAGATTGAATGTGATAGGAAGGATTTATTCTGCATTGAAGGACACATCATACACCCAGACAGGAGTCAAGAATGTCTGTTTGTAATGGTAGAAGATGAGAAACATCCGAAATATTCATTTGGTAGAATGCTAAGCAGCATTACCAAGAAGGAGAAAATTCTGTGTGCACTGAGTTGGAACTATTTCCAAAGTTTTATTGTGTGAGAAAAGAAGTGTATGTAGTAGGCTCCAAATTGTCTTGTCTAAAAAGAAATATATAAACATTTGTTCATTTTCATGATTTTTTAAAAATATATAAAACTTTACATACATAATACACACACACACACACACTGCTTAAATGTATGCTTAAAATGTTCCCAGGAGAACATGCAAGAGACTGGTAACAGCAGTTGTCTCTGGCAAAGAAAATCATGGGTTGAGTGGGATGCATAATTACTTAAACTTTTTAAAATTATGAAGTATTTCAAGCATGCAGTGAAGTACAGAAAATAACACAGCAGATGCCCATGTACCACTGCCCAGATTTAACAGATGTTGTCTTTTCGCTCTGGTCTTAGAATTGTAATTGCCAGCCCCACCCCTTCCTCCTTCCTGCTCCTTATGAACCAGAGGATGAAGTCTATATACATCATTCCACCTTTAAACTTTTGATACACATACACACTTATACAATACATAATGTGTGTATGTAAGCTTTAAATCTGCGTCATAATATACCTTCCTTTGGCTAACTTTTAATCAGTGTTTTGATACATGGAGATCTATTTAATTTGTTTACATGGCTGCAGAGAATCTCATCATGTGATTAAATCACAGCTCATTTATCCATTGTCTTATTGAGAAGCAGCATGATTTTCTTCACATTAACCTCTCTATGAAAGTTTTATTTCATGACATACAATAAGCTACATGTGATAAAAGGGCACAATTTGATAAGTTTTGAAACATTTACACACCCAAAGAAAGAACTATCATCATAATTGAAATAATAAACATGTTCACCTCTAAAAGTTTCCTCACACCCCTTCACATCCCTCCTCCCAACTTTTCCATGCTGCCGTGTTCCAGAAAACCACTGATGGTTTTGTCACCATAGATTAGTTTGCATTTTTTGCAATTTTATATAATGAAATCATTCAATATTCATTCTTTTTGCCTGCCTTTTTTCACTCGGCATGAATTTACAATCTATCCCTACTTCTTAGTATATCAATAGTCCGTTTTTGTCATTCTTGAATAGTAAGATAAAATTTATAAAACATTCAAATGTTTCCTAACACAATAGTAAGTGCTTAGTAAATGGAAGCTGTTATTATAATAATATTAACAAAATGCTTTTCAAATTTAAGAATCTATGTTATACAATAATTTCTAAACCTCAACTGCCAAAACAAAAAGAACACAAGCAAATTCCTTTCCCTTACAAAAAGGAAGCAGAACAAAAACTATGCTGAAAGAAAAAATGTTTTGGAAGAAATGTTCCAACTTTCAAATAGACAATAACTCTACCCAGTGGGTCAATTCCTAGAGATCTCCAGGAT